ACTGGATTAAAGTTGCTGAGACACCCCATTTTCCGGTCATATCTTCTTTTGAAATGCAATATATTGTATGTGTCCATCGTGATCCCGAGTGTGTTACAGAATGCTCGGTCAGGTAATACAGTTTTAGCTTGTTCTGGTTTGTCTATTTATTTGTGGTGCAGCCTAGGGTTAGTAAGGTGAAATGCAGTGCTGTTGAGTATTAACTTGATCAATACCAAAAACAAATAAATTTCCTTCTGTTACAGGATTACACATATCTATTCAAACACCGCATGCAAGGTATCTAGTCTTAAATATCAGAGATGACCAGGCCTTTCATCACTGATCAGCACCACTGGACAGCCAATGATTGGACGTACATCGAGTGCACCCGAGTTATCTTAGCTAGGTGTACATTAAAGGGATTATACCTGGGGTACTAGTGTACTGGGTTAGGTGGGATGTACATACTAGACTGTACCAGGAATATACTGGGGTTATGAGGGTTGTACATACAGGACTGTACCAGTAATATACTGGGGTTATGTGGGGTGTACATACAGGACTGTACCAGTAATGTACGGGGGTTATGTGGGGTGTACATACAGGACTGTACCAGTAATGTACAGGGGTTATGTAGGGTGTACATACAGGACTGTACCAGTAATGTACGGGGGTAATGTGGGGTGTACATACAGGACTGTACCAGTAATGTACTGGGGTTATGTGGGGTTTACATACAGGACTGTTCCAGTAATGTACTGGGGTTATGTGGGGTGTACATACAGGACTGTACAAGTAATGTACTGGGGTAATGTGGGGTGTACATACAGGACTGTACCAGTAATGTACTGGGGTTATGTAGGGTGTACATACAGGACTGTACCAGTAATGTACGGGGGTAATGTGGGGTGTACATACAGGACTGTACCAGGAATGTACTTGGGTTATGTGGGGTGTACATACAGGACTGTACAAGTAATGAACTGGGGTAATGTGGGGTGTACATACAGGACTGTTCCAGTAATTGACTGGGGTTATGTGGGGTGTACATACAGGACTGTAACAGGAATGTACTTGGGTTGTGTGGGTTATACATACAGGACTATAACAGGAATGTACTGGGGTTATGTGGGGTGTACATACAGGACTGTACCAGGAATGTACTTGGGTTATGTAGGGTTGTACATATAGGACTGTACCAGTAATGTACTGGGGTTAAGTGGGGTGTACATACAGGACTGTAACAGGAATGTACTTGGGTTATGTGGGGTGTACATACAGGTCTCTAACATTAATGTACTGGGGTTATGTGGGGGGTACATACAGGTCTGTAACAGTAATGTGCTGGGGTTATGTAGGGTGTAAATACAGGACTGTACCAGTAGGGTACTGGGTTAGGTGGGGGGGACATTCTAGACTGTACCAGGAATGGACTGGGGTTTTATGTGGGGTGTATATACAGGACTGTACCAGGAGTGTACTGGGTTAGGTGGGGTGGACATACTAGACTGCACCAGGAATGTACTGGGGTTTTATGTGGGGTGTCCATGCAGGACTGTACCATTAATGTAGTGGGGTTATGTGGGGTGTATATACAGGACTGTACCAGGAGTGTACTGGGTTAGGTGGGGTGGACATACTAGACTGCACCAGGAATGTACTGGGGTGATAGGGAGTGTACATACAGGACTGTAACAGGAATGTACTTGGGTTGTGTGGGTTGTACATACAGGACTATAACAGTAATGTACTGGGGTTATGTTGGGTGTACATACTGGCCTGTACTAGTAATGTACTGGGGTTATGGAGGGTGTACATACAGGACTGTAGCAGTAATGTACTTGGGTTATGTGGGGTGTACATACATGACTGTACCAGTAATGTTCTGGGGTGATATGGGGTTTACATACAGGACTGTACCAGTAGGGTACTGGGTTAGGTGGGGGGGACATTCTAGACTGTACCAGGAATGGACTGGGGTTTTATGTGGGGGGTACATACAGGACTGTACCTGGAATGTACTTGGGTTATGTAGGGTGTACATACTGGAATGTACCAGTAATGTACTGGGGTTGTGTGGGGTGTACATACAGGTCTCTAACATTAATGTACTGGGGTTATGTTGGGTGTACATACTGGACTGGACCAGTATTGTACTGGGGTTATGTGGGGTGTACATACAGGACTGTACCAGTAGTGTACTGGGTTAGGTGGGGTGTACATACTAGACTGTACCAGGAATGTACTGGGGTTTTATGTGGGGTGTACATACAGGACTGTACCATTAATGTACTGGGGTTATGTGGGGTGTACATACAGGACTGTACCAGGAATGTACTGGGGTGATAGGGAGTGTACATACAGGACTGTACCAGGAATGTACTGGGGTGATGTGGGGTGTATATACTGGACTGTACCAGGAATGTACTGGGAATTGTGGGGTGTACATACAGGACTGTACCAGTAATGTACTGGGGTAATGTGAGGTGTACATACAGGACTGTACCAGTAATGTACTGGGGTTATGTAGGGTGTACATACAGGACTGTACCAGTAATGTACTGGGGTTATGTGGGGTGTACATACAGGACTGTACCAGTAATGTACTGGGGTGATGTGGGGTGTACATACAGGACTGTACCAGTAATGCACTGGGGTGATATGGGGTGTACATACAGGACTGTACCAGTAATGTACTGGTGTTATGTGGGGTGTACATACATGACTGTACCAGTAATGTTCTGGGGTGATATGGGGTGTACATACAGGACTGTACCAGGAATGTACTGGGGTTATGTGGGTTGTACATACAGGACTGTACCAGTAATGTACTGGGGTTATGTGGGGTGTACATACTGGACTGTACCAGGAATGTACTGGGGTAATGTGGGATGTAATGTTTTTACCAGGAGTATACTTGTGTACTGTGGGGTGTACATAGAGGTCCCCCAAAGAGTGATGGTTGGTTATCATGTTTATCTAACTTTAGTTAGATAATTTCCAAATTGCATAAACCTTGCGTCTTTTACAATTTGAAAATTAACTAGCGAGAGTTAGATAAACATGATAACCTACCATCACGAGTTTGGGGTCCTTTTTCTCCCATAATGATGAAAAAACACTATGTCAGCTTCCGATGGGGAGAAACAATTGCCGTGAATCATGACATCACAATGAAAGATGATGTCGTAAAGCATTGTTACGTGATGTCACAAGTAAAAAATTGACCAATGAAATCACGTCCTGGGTGTTACCCACTAGTCGGTAACCAAAAAAAATGTTTACCAACTCCTAACAGGTTTATCCAATGAATCGAGTGTGAGGAAACCCAAAGTGGTTGTGGGAGAAATACAGGTCTTCACCAGGGGTACTAGTGTACTGAGGGTCTGTTGAGTATGCCATAAACGTACTAGAACCGAGAACTGGCATAATGACAGGGCTTCCCTAGTCATATATTTGATTCATGTCATTCAAAGGATCATTGTAGCTGACCTTTTGGGAAATTAATTTTTTATTTTAGATGTAATGTCTTTGTGAAGTCATAAAAGTGTAATATTTTAATTACAGTGAATTGACATGATTTGTAATACAATACCATCTCCAATATTCAATTAAGCTTTGAAACAGTAAAGTGTGTGCAAGCCTAGGAACATAAACAAGACGCCTGGGAATACATTTAGCAGGGCACAGGGTACACAACGAACAGATACACACGCAGCTTAATCCTTTTACCACTGTAGACCATAATGGACCCACCTAGATCAATGCATGGTAGAGTCTACTTAAGTTACATAGGGGTGAAAGGGTTAATAACCTTGGGAACTACACTGCTGACACTATCCTTTGTTATGAGTTATATGAGAATCACACTCAGTATTGTCCGATTCTATTAACAAATCATCATGTAGTTATCTGTCGATAAACGTCAGTGACATTTCCAGGAAGAGGCCAGGGTGCTCCTAGGGATCTGCCCCCCTCCCTCCTGCAGCCACAAGCCACAGACATCAATATTTAAACCTGGAAATCTGTGTTTTTAGCCTCTTATCATCAGATGATTGGCTTCATCTGTAGTCCATTTAATTGTCCATCCTTAACCCTTTCGACACTGTAGAACGAAATGGACTCATCCAGATCAATGCATGGTAGAGTCTACTAAAGTTACATTGGGGTGAAATGGTTAAACTATTCTTATTCTCACTATTTGTCATGAAAAACTAGACATACATTTCAAAAAGTCTATTTGAAGATTCACTTTAGCTATAACTTGTGCATGTTATATTTTTAGAATGATCAGAAAAAAATTATATGTCTGGCCACCAGACAGCTTCCTTGGATTTTGACAGTTCTAATTTGTCTTGTCAGACCTTTCTCAGATTTCATTTGTAGGTTCCGGTTGGTCCTTAATTGTATATGTTTCATTTTGAGACAGATCAAAAGAACAAGATGGCTGCCAGGCAGTCACTTTGGGGTTTGACAAATCAAATTTGTTATCACTTTATCTGGAGAAGTATAGGTTCCTTTTGTTTCATAGATTTGCTTGTCAGTTATAAGACTGATTGATAAAATCAAGATGGCTGCCATGTGGCCATATTGAAATTCGACAGTTGAAGTTTGTAACATCATTGTTTCTCTGAGTGCACTGGAGGAATCTTCCTCCTCCTGAACTAGCTTTTAAATATGCATGTTTCATTTTCAGCTTTAATAGATATAAAAAAAAAAAAATCTAGCATCATGCAGACATATTGCATGAATCTGACAGTTGTCAACTGCAGATCTTTCTCAAATTAAAAAAGTATATGTAGGTAGGTCTTCACGTCCCTAGATTATAATTAATGACTTTGGTATTAAAAGGTCTAATGAAAACCTCATTTTGAATGGACAATATCAAACAAAGCAGTAAAAAGGATAATAATTTGTGAACCTCTTTGAGACGATCTACGAACTAGGTTGTGATAAAGCGGTATATAAGAAACTCGAATTATTATTCTTATTCTTATTATGTCTTCTGTCCTCTACAGATGAAGCCCCTAAAGAGATCCTTGCGCGAGGTCCAGAAGCTGTGCTGGCATATGAAGAGGCATGTACATCAGGAACTCAGCCCATGTGCCGCACGCGTCTCATGTTGGTGGGACAAGACCGTGTGGGCAAAACCAGCCTCAAGAAGGCAATGATGGGACAGAGGTACTTATCATTGCTAATATGTGCTGTGTATGAAATGTCTCTTTCTGAACTTCAAATGGAATAGCCAGGTCAGGGAAAATCATTGCCGTGTATAATTAAGGTGCTTTAAATAATAACTCCCTATTGGTAGTTTTCTGTGAAATTGAATTCCTGCAGATCTATTTCTAGTCTCTAAATTAAATGAATGTTTCAACCCCGTGGAAATGAAACGGATATCGGCTAGACCTGTGCTGTACTGGTACAACACATCCATATTTCATGAAATGTGTTTGCACTTCATGGAACTGTGAACATCTCTATATATACATGTAATATATTCATATTTTATATACATATATTCATTTTTTCTATATTTACTTCCTTCACATGGACATTTAATCACTTTTTATTATACATGTAATATATATATATAGGAAGTATCCGGGATAGTATTAATTATTTATATAACTTTTACGTAAAAATTGCTGATTTCTGTGAGGTAGGTCCTCCTTGCTATGTCATGGTGCTTCTGTAAATTATTTAAGCTGTCATCATATCATGATTTGTAATTGTCCTGAATAAAGAAGTCTATACCATTTGAATGCTAGCTTGTATAAATGTTTCTTCCCAAATGATAGTCTTAGTAAATCAGTGACTACATTATAAGTGATGAACGTTGACTATATATTTAGGACAATCCTTTCATTACAGTTAAACAAGGTTGTTGATTTAATACTAATGTTATAACATTACACAGCCTTGTCAATTTAAATAAATTTATACCAGAGTGTAGCTTATTGTGGTAATGTAGAACTTATGAAACCAGTGGGATTGTCGGATGGCGCAGTGGACAGGGCACTAGCCTTTCACAAAGATAGGTGGGGTTCAATTCACCGATCAGATGTGAAATGTATTGTGCCATCTGCCAACCGCATGGGTTTTGTCCTAGTCAACTTGTTTCTTTGACATTAATACTCCAGGATTTAAGCAAAATTGTCAACAGTCTGCCGTAACATCATTACTGATACAGGAACAGTTAGTTTGGCAGCACGTGTATTGTAATTATCACCAGGGGTAATCTTGTACTGTTTAAAAGTTATAATTATACATTAATTGATTATGATATCTTATATTGTTATAGATTTATGTACATGTTTTTATTAACAAAGGAATATTTCAAAGATTTTCATCAGCATGTTGTCATAAATGATTTAAACAAATTTTGCTCTTTGTAAACTTGTTAATAGATGTTATATAATATTTTGTATTATGTGTTTACTCTAACCTCGATTAAGCAGCCACCTGTCTTAAGCAGCCAACATCGTGATCTCCTGTAGATGACTGCTTAAGACAGGTTTGACTCTTTATACATCAGTGTACAGTTTCTGTTGATACATGTACTTAATACAGATATAATGTGAATGAAGAAAGTACGGAGGCTGACGGGATAGACCTGTCTGCATCCTGTTCCTTCAGTACCAACAATCACGCACAGTGGAAGATGGCTGTCCGCGGCGAGTTTGAGAAGGAGTCTGAGGAGCACATTGAAGAGAAGAAACAGCTAGGCATTATGGGTAAGTAATGACACGTACAGAAGTTAGGAAACTTTTCAGAAGAAATCTCACACTTGACAATCTAGATAAAATCTAGGAACATGATTTAAATAAATACATAATATTATCATTGATTAATTCAATAGGAGTTGCAGCTGAAAGATATTTTTAAACTGTATATTCACTTGTAGGGGGAGCTGAGGGGCTAGAAGAGGAGTACTACCAGGCTCTGGCAGAGAACATAGTAAAGGAGCTACAGCAGAAAGGCAAACAGAAACAGGAGGCTCCCAAGGGGAAGTCTGGTAGTCGTGATGGACCCAGGATGCCTCTACCCAGCAGTAGGAAGGTAATCTCACGACAGACATAATTTTCACTGGCGGTAAGCAAAATTTAAATGCGTTATTTGGAAAATTAAGGAATGATTAAGTCCCACTGCTCTTGTGTTTAAGTTTACAGTGATCTGTGAAATTTACAATTCATCAAAAGTCATCAAAACTGTTTTGCACTAAAAGGAGCTAATTGTTCCCAAACAAAAAAATAAAGAGAATTAACACAAGACATTTTTTTTGAAGATGAACAGAGCATGATGAAAAAATGTTGCATCAGTTAGTGCAGGGAAGCTCCTATGCCTTCATTAGGTAGTGATGAATCTCCTAAGTTGAAGAGTAAGTAATGAGTGGAATCTCCTGAGCTTAACAGTAGATAGTGAGGGAAATCATTCAAGATTTAGAGAAGATAGTGAGGGGAATCTCCTAATATCAATAATAGGTTATGAGGGAAATCGTTCAGGATTTAGAGAGGTTAGTGAAGGGAGACTCCAAATCTTAACAGTAGGTGATGAGGGGAAATAGTTTAGGATTTAGAGAAGATAGTGAGGGGAGTCTCCTAATCCTAACTGTTGGTGATGAGGGAAATCATTCAGGATTTAGAGAAGATAGTGAGGGGAGTCTCCTAATCTTAACAGTAGGTGATGAGGGGAAATAATTTAGGATTTAGAGAAGATAGTGAGGGGAGTCTCCTAATCTTTACAGCAGATAGAGTGGTATTTCTTCCATCCAACCTACATATCTGATGTGTTATGTTGTAGTCTGACCGCAGCGTGTCCTCACATGGAGATAAACCTCACTACATCCCCCCAGAGATGATCAGCGAGGTACCCGACCGTGTCGTCCAGCTGGTCCAAGATCTACTAGAGCAAACTCCACAGGTCAATCAGTCTAAGTCCATACAATCCAAGCTCAAGTCTGCGTCCAGTTCTAGTCTGTCCAAGTCCAACCAGAGTCCTGTAGTCAAGGAGAAAAACCGGAAAGTTGTCATGAATATATGGGACTTCGCTGGTCAGCCAGTCTTTTATACTACCCACCAAGTAAGTAAGACAATCAGCCAGTGTGGTCAGTTAGTCTTAGGAATCTTACACCAGATAACAAAGCGTGACCTTGCATGGGGTCAAATGTCTTGGTAAAAAAAGAGGTGAATTTAACTGTCATGTTTTGCCATACTCAAAGTTTCAAAGCAACTGTTGTTAGTAAAATAGTTTGGAATATACGAAGAGTGAAATGAGGCTTATAGACTACTTGTCTAGAAAGACCTTAAAATAAATATTTATCAAAATTAGAATACTCCAAATGATCTACCCTACATCTGAACAACCTGTCTTAGGAGAACAACGTCTGCACAGATTATTTTTGTGTTTTCTCTCTTTTAGTTATTACCAACTGCAAATGCACTTGAACTGAGCCGACCTTATAAGCAGAGCTAGTTTAAAATACACATTTTCAGAGTTTGGTATCATTATGAGTAACATAAAGTAAAGAATAGTTTCTTTCATGCATGTACCTAATTCTACAGCATGTCTGAGGTGTATTGATCTTATTTATATATAAAAAGAATGCAAAGTAGTGATATATAGTCAGCATTTTAGTTTAGGCCAAACACATCTGGATCCTGGTTCATATAGTTTAAATGGTTAAACCGGGAACGCGAAAGGGACCAAGTAAAGTCTAACTGTATTCATTTATGTATCTGTATCATTTATCCTGATAATTATTGCGTCACTGTCGGGGTTAGAGATCAAATTAGTGATCACTTAATTTAACCTTGATTGTTTCAGGTGTTCCTTACTTGTAGAGCTGTTTATATCTTTGTGTTCAATCTGACTCAAGATCTCAACTCCGTCCAGTCAACCCAGCAGGTAGGTATACCTATATAGCCTCAGTCTGGTGAACACCGTCTTACTTGATCAGTTGGTAACGTAGTGCTGGGGACTGTGCTGTTAACACTGTTATATACAGGAAAAACGATCAATTTGTCCTATGTTATTTATTTACTTCGTATAATCCCTGTTTCAAAGCTTAATAGTAAAATCTTTATCATGAAAACACTTATACTACCAGGGTATATACAGTATAAAGTCTATGCTATCTCTATATAAACTCTAACAGAAAATTCCTACACAAGGTATATGTTTAAGCTGTTACATGTAAACTGTTAAATGGAAACCCCTATTCTATCTATATATGAACTGTTGCAGGGGAACCCCTAATCTATCTATATATTAACTGTTACAGGAGAACCCCTATTCTAGCTATATATAAACTGTTGCAGGGGAAACCCTTAACTGTTACAGGGGAACCCTTATTCTATCTATATATAAACTGTTGCAGGGGAACACCTTTACTCACTGTATTTAAACTGCTTTAGGGGAACCCCTGTCCTAGCTATACAAAACAGTGATAGGATAAACTCTAGACTAAATTTATACATATTTTTACAGGAGAACCCCGACGGTGAGATGACCACACTTGATTTTATGGATTTTTGGATGAGGTCTATATATGCCCACACTTCCCAAAACACATCCAACACCATAGACAACACCCGCCTGTCTCCACCAATCTTTGTAGTGGGCACCCACAGGAATAGCCTGTCAACGGACCCCACCCAGCAGGAACAGATGGTAAGTCCCGCCGTATTTTGCTGCTCCCATTATCTATGCCCTATTCTTGTTTTTAACCAGAAAATTAATTTGTACATACCATGTGGATACAGAAAATATCATCCACATTTAAGGACAATTGCACTTTGGAGTTGATGATACTACAATAGTATATATATAAGGTTTACATCTGACTATTTTTGCGGTTTAGGTGGAAGAGAAATTTGAAGAAATCAGAAACTTCTGTGTGAATAAGCCGTATGCCCAGCACATAGTGACACCGTTTGTGGCAGTAGAGAACAGTATAGAAAATGATGACCAGGTGAGTTATCCATCAGCCCAGGATCATATAAATATACATAATCATAATTGTAACTTTGCATTTCATAACTCTTTTTTTTTCTCTTAAAACAATGTCTTTGCAGTGGGTTTTTTTCCTGGTGTTCATTTATTTCATGCTCAAATTGTTGAACTGTCATTTCATTCACTACATTCCCTTAGGGAGGTTGTTCTACACGTCAACATCTCTGTGTGAATGAGTATTTTCCTAGATTTAACCGTGAGTTCCTCTTTATATTTTTTTAAAGCTATATGGTCTGGTGTGTTTGAACATTCTTTAATTGTAAAATATAGGTATTGTACCTGAATAAAATGTCTACCTGTACCCTAAAACAGGACCATCTCTTTCTGGACTGGTCGGGGTGGAAACATGGCATTACATAAGGACTTCTATTCACTACTATTAAAATAAAAATCACAGAGAATTTTGTACTATGATAAATAAAACATGTAAATTGAACAAATTCTTTGTTTCTTGTCCCCAAACAAAAAAAACCCTTCTTTTCACATTTTGTAAAAATGTAATTTAATATGGTACGCTGGTAGAAAAAATATGCTGTATGAAAGTAACTATGCTGTACACAGGTTTTGTGTACAATGTATGATAAAGTCGTGAAAGGGTGTTTGGGTGGCGCAGTGGATAACCCACTTAAATTTCACCAAGGTGGCTCTGATCGAACATGAAAAGGTATGGGGTCACCTGCCTGACTATGTAGGTTTTTCTCCAGTACTCCAGTTTCCTCACACATTAAGACTCCCTTGCGTGCTAACATTTGGGCCAACAAGATTGATTAATATAAATTATAATAACTTGTTTCAAAACTGTTGTAAAATGAATCAAGTTTGAAATGTTAAAGTCATGAACTTATCAATGTATGCCAAATAATAATGTAGTTCTTTTTGATCTATGAAGTTCTGTTTTATACTGTTTAGGTGAGTGCCTTGAGAGAACATGTTGAGGAGATCGCGGGTAAGGAGCCGTACATGGGGGAACAGATGCCCCTACATTGGCTCAGGTTTGAACGGGAACTCGCCAACCTCGTCAAAGACGACTTCAACCACGCCTCCTTTGACCAGGTCAGTTTTAACCATAATGATAAACAGAGATCCTGTAGTTAGTGTACCATCTACAAACAACAGCAGTTGTCTTTGCTTGGTGCTGTAGGACCACATTTAATTAAACTCAGCTTTAGTTAATTTTGATAGTATTGAAACAGTTTTTATCAATTCAAATTAATCACATAATAATCATTTATCACATTAATAATTCTTTTTGGCCAAGATGGAATCGCAATGGGACATATCATATCCATAACCAAATAGGACCAAATGTCAACAACAGTTCGTCTCTGTTAATTTGTGTAAGACAACATGTTAATTGACATTAGTGTTTGTCACACTTTTGTCCTGTAATCTCATTTATGATTGGTTTATGTATGTCACATGTCCTTATGATAAATTCAGTATCCAGTCGGTAATCTTCACTGAATATGAGCTCAGTACTGACTGTGACCTCACAATATTTAACCGTCTTTTGATTGTTACGTCGTAATGAAATACCCATGTACTAATTGCCTGTCATACTAATGTTTTTATCTGTTGTCAAGGTGAAGGAGATAGCTAACAACCTTGGCATCAGTTCTGACAAGGAGGTGAAGATCATGCTGGAGTTCTACCATGACCTTGGCGTGTTAGTGTACTTTGGAGGGTCAGGAACAATGGACAACCTTCTGCGGAACACTGTCATGTTAAACCCACAGTGGCTGGTAGAAAAGTTCACATGCATCCTTGTAGTCAAACAGGTAGAGGACAAGGTATGTAGCTCACAGGAACATTGCCATGTTAAACCCACAGTGGCTGGTAGAAAAGTTCACACGCATCCTTGTAGCCAAACAGGTAGAGGACAAGGTGTGTAGCTCACAGGGACACAGTCATGTTAAACCCACAGTGGCTAGTAGAAAAGTGCACATGCATCCTTGTAGCCAAACAGGTAGACAAGGTATGTAGCTCACAGGAACACTGTCATGTTAAACCCACAGTGGGTAGGAGAAAAGTTCACATGCATCCTTGTAGCCAAACAGGTAGACAAGGTATGTAGCTCACAGGGACACTGTCATGTTAAACCCACAGTGGCCGGTAGAAAAGTTCACATACATCCTTGTAGCCAAACAGGTAGAGGACAAGGTATGTAGCTCACAGGAACACTGTCATATTAAACCCATAGTGGCTGGTAGTTAAGTTCATATGCATCCTTGTAGCCAAACAGGTAGAGGACATTGGGTGTAGCTCACAGGAACAGTGTCAAGTTAAACCCACAGTGGCTAGTAGAAAAGTTCACACACATCCTCGTAGCCAAACAGGTAGGCAAGGTTTGTAGCTCACAGGAACAGTGTCAAGTTAAACCCACAGTGGCTGGTAGTCACTGCCAATCAGATTAAGAGCATGGTAGAAATGCTATGAAAGTTGACGCAAGATCTTTTAAGCTTTTGTTGTTAACCCTTTCACCTCTAGGAAACTCTAGTAGACTCTACCATACATTTTTCTGGATGAGTCCATTATGGTCTACAGTGGTGAAAGGGTAAATGCATATTTTCTATGTCCCATATGTAAATAGATAGCAGTATCCAAATGTTTGGTATGCTTTACTCTGAAGGATCTGAAGCTTAACTGATAAGCTCTTTTATTGATATTTTCTTCTATCTAATAAGGAATTTCCTGTAGGTGTTTGGGATTAATTGTTGACAATACTGTATACCAGGAAAATTTCACTGCAGTTTAATTTTCGACGTGTTTGCCCTATGGAATGAGGGCTAATTTATCATTACAGTGAACAGTATAATTTACAAAGTAATTAAATATGGAAGGCGAAAATTAACACTCAATGAATTCAGTTTTCACAAACAACAGGCAACAGTTTGACTGTGCAAAAATTACCCGTTATATGATATGTGATACAAGTACCAACTGTTACCTCTTAAACTATGTCCTCTATTATAATCTATGTTTCCATTACTTCTCCAGTGGGACATGTTGAAGGAGAAGTGGCGGCTGTTCCAGGAGCGAGGGATCCTCGAGGACGCTCTCATTGACCACCTGTGGGCCGATGTCATTGACCAGAAGCCTGTCCTCCTGGGCCTCATGGAAAAGTTTGACCTCGTGTGTCAGAGGTCACTGGACCTCTCTCTATCACAGGTATGGTCGTAGATGTTACTGGTCTTTTGTAGTGTCAAGCATTTTTGCCATAAGTAAAGTACTAAGATTAATGAACTGTGGTATTCAATTACTCCTAAGGTAAAGCTTGCCAGTTCATTTCTTACAGTGGAAACTTTTCAATCCACAACATTAGACAAGGATCCCTTGCACAACTGCAAAAAACTTACATGAAGCTTTGATAAATGATAAATCATTTCTGAAAAGAAAACCATACCTTGCAGGACTTTAACGAGAAATCATAAAGTTGAAACAAACAAAATATAAACAACAGCAGTGTTCAGAGTGTGAAAAACTCAGCAGGGCTAGACCGGGATTCCAACCCTGGACCTCAGATTGTTATATACTATCGCTCTAACCGACCGAGCTACCTGGTCAACAGAAGTGTCCTGGTCCAACTGTGTGCTACAGTTACATCCAAGAGGAAGTTAAAGGGGAGATAATTGTATATATAGGGAAAATTACAGCGCAGTGGAACAGGGATCCTTAAAGAAGAAAATACTTTATAACTTTTCCAAAGTAACTGCAGGATATAAAACTGTCAGTAACTGTTGATCAGGTGTTGGAGACATTCACAGATTCTTAAGTTTGTTAGTATGTCTACCTGTAGAGATTTTACATATCTGTACACTGTGATTACTAACATTGTAAACCTTTGTGTTTCAGTCCAATGGGGGTCAGAAGTACCTATCTTATTATGTTCCTTCACACCTGGCCACATGTGGGGACAACAAACGACTATACGCTGCCTACGACACAGACATTGTCTTTTATATTAACTTCTGTGGCTTTCTCCCAGGTAAGTCACCAATCTCTTTGGCTTCCTCCCAGGTAAGTCATCACTCTCTGTAGCTTCCTCCCAGGTAAGTCATCAGTCTCTTTGGCTTCCTCCCAGGTAAGTCATCAATCTCTGTCGCTTCCTCCCAGGTAAGTCATCAATCTCTGTCGCTTCCTCCCAGGTAAGTCATCAATCTCTGTCGCTTCCTCCCAGGTAAGTCATCAATCTCTGTAGATTCCTCCCAGGTAAGTCATCAATCTCTGTAGATTTCCTCCCAGGTAAGTAATCAATCTCTGTAGCTTCCTCCCAGGTAAGTCATCCATCTCTGTAGCTTCCTCCCAGGTAAGTCACCAATCTCTGTAGCTTTCTCCCAGGCAAGTCATCAATCTCTGTAGCTTCCTCCCAGGTAATTCATCAATCTCTGTAGCTTCCTCCCAGGTAATTCATCAATCTCTGTAGCTTCCTCCCAGGTAAGTCATCACTCTCTGTAGCTTCCTCCCAGGTAAGTCATCAGTCTCTTTGGCTTCCTCCCAGGTAAGTCATCACTCTCTGTAGCTTCCTCCCAGGTAAGTCATCAGTCTCTTTGGCTTCCTCCCAGGTAAGTCATCACTCTCTGTAGCTTCCTCCCAGGTAAGTCATCAGTCTCTTTGGCTTCCTCCCAGGTAAGTCATCAATCTCTGTCGCTTCCTCCCAGGCAAGTCATCAATCTCTTTGGCTTCCTCCCAGGTCAGTCATCAATCTCTGTAGCTTCCTCCCAGGTAATTCATCAATCTCTGTAGCTTCCTCCCAGGTAAGTCATCAATCTCTTTGGCTTCCTCCCAGGTAAGTCACCAATCTCTGTAGCTTTCTCCCAGGTAAGTCATCAATCTCTGTAGCTTCCTCCCAGGTAATTCATCAATCTCTGTAGCTTCCTCCCAGGTAAGTCTTCAATCTCTGTGGCTTCCTCCCAGGTAAGTCATCAATCTCTGTCGCTTCCTCCCAGGTAAGTCATCAATCTCTGTAGATTTCCTCCCAGGTAAGTCATCAATCTCTGTAGATTTCCTCCCAGGTAAGTAATCAATCTCTGTAGCTTCCTCCCAGGTAAGTCATCCATCTCTGTAGCTTCCTCCCAGGTAAGTCACCAATCTCTTTGGCTTACTCCCAGGTAAGTCATCAATCTCTGTAGCTTCCTCCCAGGTAAGTCACCAATCTCTGTAGCTTCCTCCCAGGTAAGTCATCAATCTCTGTAGCTTCCTCCCAGGTAAGTCATCAATCTCTGTAGCTTTCCTCCCAGGTAAGTCATCAATCTCTGTGACTTCCTCCAATCTCCAAGGTTAGTCACCAATCTTTGTAGCTTCCTCCCAGGTAAGTTATCAATCTCAGTTACTTCCTCAAATCTCCCAGGTAAGTTTCTGTATCCTAATCTTGGGCAAGAGTAAAGACTTAAAATTTTCACTCCTGTTTGGTAAAGACAAAGAAATCCCAAGGGTATGATCTTGTTGATGGTGATGAAAACAGCTCTTTTGTTGATTTAGTATTGTTAACTGAATTATCTACTGACTATGTAAAGCATAGATTGTTAACATTTCCCTGTTCATAGGGCCTGTATAAAACGTCTTTCTTGATGTATGTATTAAACTGTTTGCAAATGCTAGTGTTTCTTTGATACTACTTAGGTCCTCCAAGGCAAAATGAAGGTTAAGTAAAATGTCACATTTCAACTATATAGCGACATTTGGTGATGGTTCAATTAACCTTAGTTTGTATAAAACGATAATTTCAGATATAACCTATTCCGTCTTTGCGTATTGCAGAGTTATCTTCTCTTGGGAGCAGGTATTGATTGTTATGTCATTGGTTTGTGTGAAAAAATTACGTCGTTTTCTCAAAAATTGATGACGTTACTCTCACAAACAAGTGACGTAACATTCAATACCTGCTCCCAAGAGAAGATAACTCTGCAATATGCAAAGACGGAATATTTTCAATGGCTGTCAGTATGAGGGACATGAACTTCATGTATTTTATTTTCATATTCCATGATAATTATTTTATGTTTCATGGAAGAAATTATATTTCATCATTATAGCTTCATTGCATTAAATTAGAGGACTTTTCTGTTAGTGTTACATGATATAAGATTTGTTCTTACTTCAGTCTGTATTTTGAATTTAGATGACCTGTTCCATCGGATTTTAACACGAACAGTCCGGTGGACTCTAGGGAACTCTGGGAAAGAACCATATAGTATGTTCCGTCATGTAGCACGATTTTACCTCGACGAGGAACATGATTTTGTCCTACAGATGGCGCCAAGGAGGTGTCATCGCATTAAGGTAGGTGTACCACACGATCTCACAAATTTTGAGAAAATTTGAAAACAAATTTCGATACATGTATTCTGCTTTATTTAAAATGAAACAGAGTGCAATTATCAAGAACAAGCAAGATACTTTTTATGTGTGACTTTTCTTTCAGAGATTAAAAGTGTAAGATTGTCCAAAATCTAGCATTAAGTACATTGGTTAGTACTGTACAGAAAAAAACATACATGCCCTGTAACAGTGTTCTCCTATAGCTATCCATTATGAGGTAGAAGTAAATGTTTTATATGTATGTTATAAACAACAGGTGGTTGTGATGCGGGTAGTCAATGACGACGACTATTCTTCAGTAGAATCTGACGATAACGACAACTACCGAGATAGGACCCCGAAACCTGATGTCTGTGCCAAGGTAAGGGTTAGTCTGATAGAAAGTGACAGAAAAATTGTAATCAATAACTCCAATATCTGTAACAGGAAAGAGAGTTAGTGTACTTCCATCGGGGATTCGAACACGCGATCCCAGACTTCCTAGTCAGAGACTACCACTGAGCTAAAGGGAAATTCTCCGTAGTGCGAATTTAAGCTAGAAGGCGTAATCCTATGTTCAATCGAAATCTGCCAAATAACTAACACTGGTACAATCAGGAAATGTACCAATATTTAAAATCTGAAGCTGCTGATCAATGACAATCAATAAAGTATGGCAGGGAGATGATGTCACCCTGTTAAGACAGTATACTTACATTTATGTACCTTTACAGTTAGCTTATACCGAGAAATTTCTTGTGATCCCATTGGCTGGATAATATATAGGTGACCAGTTCTCAGAAACTCATGTAGACCAGTTTTGCTGTGAATATGTATTTCTTGATATAGCATTTAGTGGAACCCCCCTACAGTTTTTACTGCTTATAGATGGTTGTTTGATAAATTAATATACAATAGCTTTGTAATGTTAAAGATATAATGTATTAATCAGCATGACAGTTCTTTACAATTATGAACTTACAATAAAATGTGGCAGGAAGGCCTCACATCCAAACTATCGAATCGTAAAGATTTAAGATAGTTTGCTTAATTTATTGATGAAGCATTTAATAAAAGCGTAATTGAATTTTGTGTTGGCATATATATATGAAATTAACCTGGAACAAGAGTACTGCGGGGCGGAACAATATACGCCCGTCGAATGCCATATAGTGTTATATACTTTCTTACATTGAAATAAGATCTGCATCATTCTAAGAGCGGTTAGCTGATATGCTATAAAAAATGTAGGAGAAAATCTCCGGACAAAAAATCAAATACTGAAATGCACAAAGGGCAATAACTTTTGGAAAAATTGTTGAATCAAAATTCTTTTAAGATAGACACAACTTCATATCATGGTTGTAATGTATACCAAGTTTCAAGGAGATTCGTAGAAACATGTAGGAGGAGATTGCCAGACAAAAATCAAATCCTGAAATAAACAAAGGGCAATAACTTTTGCAAAAATTGTCGAATCAAAATTCTTTTCAAGGAAACACAACAACATATCATGATTATTTAGCCTACTAAGTATCAAAGAAATCTGTCAAAAAATGTAGGAGAAGATCTCCGGACAAAAAATCAAATACTGAAACGAACAAAGGGCAATAACTTTTGGATTAATTGTTGAATCAAAATTCTTTTTAAGGGAGACACAACTTCATATCATGATTAAAATGTATACCAAGTTTCAAAAAGATCGGTTGAAAAATGTAGGAGGAGATTGCTGGACAAACAAAAGTTTACGCCGGACGCCATACCATAATACTCCTGTCAAATTTGACAGGCGTATAAAAAGGATTCATGTTGGTCAATATCACCTTTTCAGGTTTATTTCATATTATATTCACTATCACAAAATCAGTTCATTCTATAACTGTATAATGATATTTTATTACTGATTGAGTTGTGGGTTTGAGCCTGACAGACCTCATCCTCTCACGATGCTGGAGATTTGTACAGGATGTGATGTATTTGTGTTGTAGCTACGTAATTTCCTGGAATCTAGTTTGTTTGAGCTGAAGGAGATGTGGATCAAGCGTCTATACTACACAGTATGTGTGGCCTGTCCGTGTGGTCGACCCTGCTACTCCCACGACTCGCCAAACTGCCAAGAGGAACTCTGTATGCACTTTCTTAACCTCGATGAGTGTCTGTCCAACAGGGTAAGTTGTACTGCATGCACTTCCTGGGAAGATTTTAATTATTTGAAGGATCCCTGATTCCACTGTGTTTTTTTGTACATATAGTAACCTCCACTGAATTTCAACTTGGATATAACTCATTTGATTTTGGGTTCTGAGGTCCAGGGTTAGTTGTGTTGCATTTTTTTCTCTCCTGATGCAAAAAAAACACTGTTGTTGACCTAGTATTGCAAGTTTAAAAGTTTAATCTATATTAATCTTTTTCCAAAAAGAAAGATGTTCACAACATCTAGTATTCTTTGCACAAATTTTGTGTTAGTTCTGTTCCAAATCCAAAACAGTCCTTAGAAAGTTCCACAAGATATGGATGTCTCTTTATGAAATGTATAATCATGCCAAAATATAGATGTAGTGAGGCTGTCCACAACAGTTGTATGCTGCTAGGTGCTAATCTGTCTTGCTTACTGACAGGTCGTATGCTGTGAACATAGAAGAGTCAAAACCAACTTATTCCGGAAGTGGTTTCCGGAGCCTTTCAATATGGGTAAGGTTATTCTCCTGGTTAGTACTGTCATCTTATCAGATACAAGTTTCATTTTTAATGAAATTTTCAAATTAAGTCTAATCTGTGCTTGTCAGATGTTAATGATCTGAAACAGCTTCTCATACATTTATTGGGAAATGCAAGCTATTTTCTTTAGGTCGGTCGGTATGGATTGTAAACAGGGTCATATAGCACAACAAGTGAAGTGTTACTGCGTTAAGTTTTGATAACTACGTAGTGCAATATGTAATCTGTCCTCTTCTTCATCAGACAATTTTTAACACTGGTTGTGCTATTTGAACCTATAGACAGGATACACAACGAACCTGTTCACACAAGGAAGATGAAGTTATTATTCCACACTTTAATGGGGTTTTTTCATCTGACTGATAATGAGGTATGGTCCTGATTGTGGTTACAGGGTTCAGCGGCCAGATCCTACCCAGCATTGACATGCTGGAGACACATGGAAACATAGAGAAACACAACCCCAACCTGCCCGTGTGGGTGAAAAGTGCTGCCAAACTGCTCAATGGTGGAGAGGAGAACCAGGACTGGCTAGCTTTAGCCAAAGTCATGGGTATGTACCCTTTACCCAAAACACCCCGGTACCTACTCCGATAAAAATAGGGAGAAATGAAGCCAAAGTCATGGGTATGTCCCTTTACCCAAAATACCCCGGTACCTGCTCCGATAAAAATAGGGAGGAATGACTGCACCCCCTCAACTACCCAAGGTAGTTCTCACACATAATCCATTCCCAACACTCAAGTATATCTTGTATAGGTTTTCCCCTGTAGGATAGACACAATGTTTGTACCGAATGTAAATTAAACATGTTTGTGCTGTAGGTTACAAAGAGGCCAAGATAGAGAAGATCACAGACGACTTCAACCCTGGCCTGGCCCTGCTGGCCGACTGGATACTGACCAGTGGAAATACTGCCCTGTCGGTGGACATGCTGGTCGGCTACCTGGAGAAGATACACAGGGACGATATCATGGAGGTCATACAACAGGCTAAAGGTATAAATTACTGTAGGGCCGCTTTCGTTTATCTTGATCCAAGTAGTTGAACCAGAGTAGTTCGTTTACGAAATAAGGTCAGACCTAATAAACAGATGCTGTTTTCAGGCGAGTCTCGACAAAATCCTCCCAAGGCCTCCATAAACTTTTGCAGGCCCGCCAGGATTATACCAAAAAAATATTACATTTAAAACAGATGACCAAATGTTCTGCATAAACGAACAGGCCCTAGCTATAGGTTAAAGGCACTTATAATAATAATAATAATAATATACAACATTTATAAAGTGCCCTATATAATTTGTAAAATTACTCTAAAGCGCTTAAGAGCAAACTAAGGGGAGGTAACTATCATTAATAATGGAAGTCATCATGCATGCAGCAAAGCACATGACATATGTGCTTCATCAGATCAAACAGCAATCATATTACTTGGATTTAATTAAAAGAAGCTTGGGCATATGGAATAAATTGATAAAAACCGTAAAACCAGCCATTTTGCTGCAATGAAATTAGAATGTTTTGAAAATAAAGACCTGCCTCCGAAGTAAGGAGGCAAGCGCCTTACATGTATTGTATAGACCACAGGGGTCCCTTCCGTCCTTATCAAGGGGAGTGCTAACCTTCTCTCCTTTCTTACAACACATTTGCAATAAGGACGTCAATCTGTATATATACTCATTGTGTCCTTAACACACTTACAATGGTTTTTACAAATTTACATATTTGGCTTTTTTTGTCTCAATTAAAATTTAGCAAAAGTAATTAGCAATTATCGGTTATTGTAATTAGATGAACATAATCAAATTGTGTATTTTTGTAAATTAGGTTTTCTTCATGACATCATTATAATTTTTATATCAGTTAAAATTTAGGTATAAATTGCTGAAATTTGAATATTACAGTTATCTCCCTTGACTTACATATAATGCTGTGGAATACAATTTTGATGCACATTCTAAAACCAATAAAGATTTAGCAATATTGGTGGACATTCCTAAGAACCCATTACAGCAAAATTTAATACAGTCTAAAAAATTGTTTGGGAGGTCTTGCAAAATCTTTCCAGGACCACTTGTATTTTAACCTGAAAATATGTTACTTGTTGTCTGTTGTGTGTTACCTGTGTCTTACTTTTTACCTGTGTCATACCTCTGCTTTACCTGTGTTTTTTACTTGTGTCATACTTCAGCTGTATCTATATGTTATACCTGTAGGTTACCTGTGCCATACGTCTTTTTTTACCTGTGTCATACCTCTTTTTTACCTGTGTCATACCTCTGCTATACCTGTGTTTTACTTGTGTCATACCCCTGCTAAACCTGTGTGTTACCTGTGCCATACCTCTAGTTTGCCGGTGTGTTTTACCTGTGTCATACCTCTGCTATAAACGGTCATACATCTGCTATACCGTGTGTGTTTTACCTATGTCATACCTTTACTATACCTGAGTGTTTTACCTGTGTCATACATGTACCTCTGCTGTTGTACTTACATGTAGTTTACCTCTATTTTACATGAGTCATACCTCTACTGTATCTGGGTTTTCACCTGTGTTGTACCTTCATTCAGAAACGAATCAGGACCCACCCCAGGTGTTCATCAGCTACCAGTGGGACTGCCAGGATGAGGTGAAGGCCCTGCGAGACCGGCTAGAGAAAGTTGGGTTGTCCTGTTGGATGGACATCGGTCAGATGGGAGGAGGTGACCAGCTTAACAGCAAGATAGACGAGGGTATCAGAAACGCAAAGGTATACTAGCTTCATTAAAGGCATGTAAAGTAATCTATCATACGGAGTGTTTGATAACTTTGTTTCTAGATTATATCTGTAACCCTTGTAAATACTAGCTGCAATATACCGCTCGGCTAGAGAGATCTTCTCTTTAGCGTTAGACTAGTAAGCCAGAGGTCCCGGGTTCGATCCTCAGCGGAGGCAGTGAAATATTTGTTTAAATTTCACGTGCTCTGTTACATATCTGATGTGAAAGCTTAATTTATGAACCAGCTTTATCCTGTCAGATTTACTTCATATTGAGGTGAACAAAAACAGTTCAACAGCTTACAGAAAATTTTGGCGTCTTAAGGGTTCGGCAAGAAAATCAGGGAAATGTAAAATAAAAAAATTCTTAAGAAAAGGAGGACAAGGGACAATGAAATATGTTGGTGGTAAATGAGATGGCAAATGAAAAAGACGGGCATTATATCAAGGTTTTACTTTATATGGTATATAGGACGCATGCATAATGTTTATAATTATTTTCTGAACATATACTGCATACCAGGAAATTTTCGCTTTGTCAAATGTTCACCCCTCAACGGTTATATCCATTTTTGACCAATATCTGCCCTTTACATTTAATTACTATGTATTTGCTTACAAATGTTCGCTGTAATGTTAAGTTTGCCCTCATTACGGAGGAGAAAAAAGGCAATAATTTCACTTGAGCAAAAAATTCCTGGTGTACAGTATTGCACTGTAATTATTACTAGTGACGCTACAGTATATTATAACATATGTGAATGTCTGCCCTGGTGTTTACTAGGCTGTGCTCTCCTGTGTGTCCCCCAAGTATGTTGTGTCCCACCACTGTAATCGGGAACTCAGTCTGGCTGACCTACTGGCCAAGCCCATCATCCCAGTGATGTTTGAACCGGTAGCCTGGCCACCTCCGGGCGGAATGTCCCTCATCTTCTCGCAGCTCGTCTACATAGACATGAAAGGTACACTACACCCCTTCCCTCTGTTTACTAAATCTATAGCATGTGCATTTGATCACTTTTTGAATTATCACTTTTAAACTTATCTTTTCATACATTAAGGAACCTTGTCACTCTGTCAGAAAATGTAGCTAAATATTGGAAACTGTTAACTAGCATTACTATGGCATTAATAAATTATTTATGAAAAGAAAACCATAATTTGTTGGACTTTTATGAGAACTATATTAAAGATGAAATAAACAACATATAATCAAAAACAGTGTTCTGAGACAGAGTGTAAGAAATTTCCAGGTCTAGACCAGGATTTGAACTCCAGACTTTAGATTGTCATACTATCGCACTAACCGATTGAGCAAACGGAAGTTGTGCTCCAGTTATATCCAAATGAAAGTTCAGGGGAGGTAACCTACTGTATGTAGAAAAACAAATGGCAGTGGGAAAGGGATCCTTAAATGTTTCTTTTTTTCCCCCCAAATGATGGTAAAAAATATTTTTTATGCATCAGTGGAATAGTCATCTCAGATTTGAATGATTACCAGGTAATAGGCATTCTTATTGATTAGCATTACTACTGTATTATATATATGTCTGATACAGGACTGATATATTTTGTATTTTCTGCACCCGATTCACAGATGTTGTCATCCAATCGTTTAGAGCAGGTACTTAATTCTGACAGGAGCCGTGAACCTTTTGTATTAGACTTCCTGATTTGTCCTGTGTTTGTCTTACTTGATTTACCCAATAGATTTGTTATCTTATTTACCCAGTGTTGTTATTGCCTGTGTTTGAAAGAGTTTAGTACAGTTTTAAGTCCGAACATTTTCCTGTTGGTTGTTCAATATAGTGTACAACAACTTGCTACCACAATGTACTCCAAAACAGAACATTTTTGCCAATAGGAGAGGAAACATTGTTTTACATTTAAATGTAGTTGTACATGTACCAGAATATATGTACATGTAGGTCATTTCAACTCTGAGCAGATTTGTTGCATAATTCCAGAAGGTGTAAAATTGGTTGAGCGAAAATATTGCAGATTACAATCTAGACTGTACTGTAACATTTTATTTCACACTCATCTGTAACCATAGCAACCTGTTTCCATTACAGGTGTAGGAGGACACGGAGGCACAGGTATACATGGTGACCTCAACGACAAGTACAAGGAGATCACCCAGCGAGTGATAAACTACGCCAACCCTGACCTCACTAAATACTTCGACACCGAAACGCTCCTAAGTAGTAAGGAAAGTAACGCCCATCACGAATCGTCAAGTCTATCCAGTATGGAGAGTATCGACAACTCCCTCAACAACAACAACCTGGAGCATACCACTCTCCGACACCCCTACCCCCTCCCTGTGACCATGGTTACCCAGAGAGAATACACCACCCCACAGCAGGTCACAGTGACCAAGTGCGGGGTGTGCACCATTTTATGATGACGTCGTAAGGATATAACTTCATTTTGTAATATAGATTCATCATCATTCCATCACAAGGCTCAAAATACACACGGATTAACAGTGAAACAAGTGAGGATTGGCATCGTATGATTATAGTTGTATGTGTCATGTGTTGACTTCAATGTCAGACTGCTTAGAGCACTGGGGCACACACAATGTGACTGTGGAGTCACTGTGGAGTCGGTGTCCCCAACCAGTCACTGGCTCACCTACTGAAATGAGGGTTACATTTTGTGTGTATTACAAATGTGAAAACAATAGCGTGTAACACGTGTAGTAAAAAATGCAACTGTTTGTGTACAGTGACTAAGTACTGACAGAGTGTGAGGTAGTTTTAGGGTCAGGAGGACAATGTGGGACCTAAATCCTACGTTGGTGATGTCTGTCTGAGTGAGAAAATATAGGGCATTGTAAGGAAGTGGTGTTATAATTATGTACCTGTATATATACATATATATATGCTAGGTGCCACAATTACAGTCTGGTCTAGGAATGTAGTACATGTAATACGATAGTTCACAAGACACCAGGTATTTATTTTTATTATGTATTTACAAGTTTGAATCTCCTGATCTATATTGTTATTTGATCTGAGTGTCAGTACTCTGCCAGTTACAATGCAATGTTCTGATACAGTCAGATCTGATGTATATTGTTATTTGATCTGAGTGTCAGTACTCTGCCAGTTACAATGCATTGTTCTGATACAGTCAGATCTGATGTATATTGTTATTTGATCTGAGTGTCAGTACTCTGCCAGTTACAATGCATTGTTCTGATACAGTCAGATCTGATGTATATTGTTATTTGATCTGAGTGTCAGTACTCTGCCAGTTACAATGCAATGTTCTGATACAGTCAGATCTGATGTATATTGTTATTTGATCTGAGTGTCAGTACTCTGCCAGTTACAATGCATTGTTCTGATACAGTCAGATCTGATGTATATTGTTATTTGATCTGAGTGTCAGTACTCTGCCAGTTACAATGCATTGTTCTGATACAGTCAGATCTGATGTATATTGTTATTTGATCTGAGTGTCAGTACTCTGCCAGTTACAATGCAATGTTCTGATACAGTCAGATCTGATGTATATTGTTATTTGATCTGAGTGTCAGTACTCTGCCAGTTACAATGCATTGTTCTGATACAGTCAGATCTGATGTATATTGTTATTTGATCTGAGTGTCAGTACTCTGCCAGTTACAATGCAATGTTCTGATACAGTCAGATCTGATGTATTTGTTATTTGATCTGAGTGTCAGTACTCTGCCAGTTACAATACATTGTTCTGATACAGTCAGATCTGATGAATATTGTTATTTGATCTGAGTGTCAGTACTCCACCAGTTACAATACCTTGTTCTGATACAGTCAGATCTGATGTATATTGTTATTTGATCTGAGTGTCAGTACTCTGCCAGTTACAATGCAATGTTTTGATACAGTCAGATCTGATGTATTTGTTATTTGATCTGAGTGTCAGTACTCTGCCAGTTACAATGCATTGTTCTGATACAGTCAGATGTGATGTATATTGTTATTTGATCTGAGAGACAGTACTCTGCCAGTTACAATGCAATGTTCTGATACAGTCAGATGTGAATGAATCTGCTAAGTCATCTTTGTAATTAGTAATTGCTTAATTACATTATTTATTGTTTTATTGATTACTTTGTAATTGCAGCTTACATTGTCTGGAAGCTGTCTTTTCTGAACACTAGATTTTTTTCTGTAAAGCTAAATGATATTACAAAGTTGATTAAATTGCTAATAAGGGCTATTCCATGTTAGCTTGGCGGGGAGCACAACAAATGTTTTCCTACTCCCTACGTATAAGTATCTGTTTCTTAAATAGGAATTAGCTGGTATAAAGATAAGATTTTATCCTTTTTATTGAACAAATATATGTTATGGTGAGTTGTTGTTTTATGTTAATGTGAACTACAAAATATTAAGCTATCTGTGATATTTATGTTACGACTGATTTGTAAAGACGTCTCCAGGTAAAGCTTGCTATATATCACCCTCAGATATTTGTGTACTTTATCGCCTTCTGATATTTATGTAAAACAGTGGAAAAGGAATGCATGTATTTCCAAAATGTTTTGTTTTAAACATTTTTTTCTCTCACCCTATTTAGTAATATACCTGTAAAAGAAGTTTGTTCTGACAGGATAAATACATACAGTTGTACAAAGAGGGGTAGATGGTTGATGTTACAGTAGTATAAAATCCAGTAATACACCAGGTATGTTAATGTATTTGTGGTATTAAGAAATAGGATAAAGCTTTGGATGGTCAGCATGTCTATCGATACCAGCACGCTCTACATGCCTCCGAAATAATTTCCACTTACAAAGCTCAGTTTTCCTATCTACCCGGCCGAGTTGTTTTACGTATTACGGGCAACATCTACAAGGCCCTACACATTGTTGACTCAAATTTCTTCTCTTTTTTTAAATTTTTTTAATGTGGTATCTTTAAATAGGTATTTTTATCATTATGATTCATTTTTATTGTCACATAAAATTAGGAAACGCTGAAAATTGGAAGATATATCAAAATTGTAAAATTTTATGTTAATGATTCATTAAAACAATTGTGGATTCTGGTATGTAACACCGAGTATTGTGGAGCATTATTTCTGCTTTTTATAAAGATATGGAATGGAATGCAGTGTAAATATTTCCACTGTGAAGGGTAATTAAAATCTCAGCATATAGAAGGATGTTACTTTGAAGAGAAACATTATTTGTCAGGAGAAATCTCATACAGCATCTGAAAATATTTTATAGAGTCTGTTTTATTGTGTCTATCTTTATCAATATTTGTTTTGCCTTTTTTTTTTTACTACTAAATATATATACATGATAATCTTTTTCTGTCATATACACAGTTTTTAAGTTTCATGCATGATATACAAAGAATTTGTGAAGCCATTGTATGTTAATTTTGTATTGTTGGTCATGAAGTACACTGAATTTATTTTATGTAAAATTTTAAAAAGAAAACAAAGGTAAAACACATCCATGTGTTTGTTATACAATATATAGGTACAATATATATATACATTACTTATTGTTAATGTTTCTTAACTGTTTTCTTTGTTTTGTTTCCGTCCATCAATCTAGATTTGTGAACAAACTACTATGTATAAGAAAGGTTGCCTTTGTTTGGGATTGGGGATTGGGGAGAATTTTCTTAGAGATTTAACCAGCTCTACAGGTCTTGGCATGTAATGTAAACTGCTACCAGTATAGCATGATCACAGGAATGGGCAGGAGTTAAAGGGCATTACAGAGATACGTCCGAGAGGACTGGACATCATGGTCAGTGTCGCTGACCATTACGGTCACCTAGCTATGTATAGATTAGATCATTGCTATGAAAATTAATGTAGATATTCAACTTGCATAGCTTCGTAGAGTTTTATATTTATTCACCTGTCGACACCAAGTATTGTGTTGGTGAGTTACAAATAAATGGTATTCATATATATTAAGTGCCAGTAATATGAAGATTTAGGTCAACATACTCCAGTATATCCGTTGAAGGTCAAAGTTCATGTAAATCAGCAGATCTGTGAACTTTTGATAGGTTATAATTTTGCTGTACAAAGTCGCCCTGCTAATGTAATGGGTTGGTTTCTTCTGTTCTACAGATTATTTAGAGTTCAATGTTTGTGCTTCTAATTCAATGTATCTGAACAAAATACTGTTGATCAACTTTCTAAATAAATAGTTTGTTTGGAATAGAGGAAAAAAGCTGGAATCGTCTCTCAAGTCAAGGGGGCCAAGCGGTGGCTAAGTGGTTAAGGCGTCTGACATTCTGCTACCAGTAGCCCTCCACCACTGGGTCGAGGGTTGGAGACCTACGTGGGGCAGTCGCTAGGTACTGGCTGTAGGTCGGTGATTTTCCCCCGGGAACTCCGGCTTTCCTCCACCACCAAAACTTTGCACGTCCTTAAATGACCATAGCTGCTGATAGGACGTAAAAAACAAACAAACTCTCAAGTCACGCAAAAAAAATGTTTACATTTACATATAAACTCGAGGTATTCGCAACTTTTTTGAAACATAATTACCATATCGCAGTATTACAGTTATGAGACCAGTGTTCTCAAAGCCAAAACTTGTGGCATTCTAGGTGTGGTCCCCTTGCGGGCCCTTCTGATGAGGAAGTTGACACTTTTTTGTGCTCTATGTACTATTATGGTATGATGTTTCAAAATATGTGTGTAACTGAAATTTGTTAATAAGGATGAGGGTGAGGTATAATTTACAGTAGTTCGTATTTTTTGTGTGCATACAGCTGAAAATAAGATAAAAAATGTATGTAACATGTTTTATGTTAACAGGAAATACTTATTTAATTTGGGAAGTTCACATTTACCTCTGCATGTGACAGGTATACACATGTATACAAAGAAGATTCATGCATAACATGTAATACAGGTGCTTGAATTGTTTTGCCCTTCGCGATCGGCTTCCCCCCCCCCCCCCCCCCCCCCCACCTAAAACAAATCTTAAAAGTAGCTTCTACTAGTAATACTAGTTACATGTACAGTCATCTATTTATAGACATAGGGTGTCCTTGTAAGCATGATTTGAGGACACCAAAGGATGCCCCTTGTGGCTGTAGTACAATAGTAGTAGCCTTGTAGAAGTCCCAGAATGTTTCCAGAGAGGGAGCCCAAAATATGTACTTTAATATAGAAACATTTTTTTTCTTTTTAAAATTTATGTACTTACCATGAAAAAAGTCCCAGTTTGTTTTATAATGCCATATAGATATAAGAAATTTGTGCGTGAACAGAAATAATTTCTTCACATAAATGTTATTTATCATTTCAAACTGATCGGTGTAACAAAAAAAACCACATGTAGGTACATTTGCTTACTGTCTCGACCTAATGTGTAGCTTATCCATAGACCAAGTAGCTCAATCACTTACAATGATAGTATACCAATCTGAAGTCCATTGCTTACAGTCAAAACAATGTTGTTGATTGTTTTTTGTTCATTTCATCTAATTATTTCTCATTAAATTCCCGGAAGATATGGATGGTTTTCTGTTCTGAAATAAATCACCAATTTATCTCTAGTCATGCCAGGAAAAAAACAGTTTCCATTACTTAGTTAGTTTTTGGCAGTGGTATGGGGATCCTTAATTTGGTTTTATAGGTTGTGAGGCTATGATTGAAACATCCAATTGATTTATATAATCTTACCTCATTTTACTTCTCTTTTTGAGCTATTCTAGGAAAAACATGCATATCTGGGGGACTTGGGGGGATCTTTATTGATGGCTTGTACATCTACTTCATAAAAGTTTTTTGTATCAAAATAAACAAAGGGACATAGTTCTGTTTGTAGAGTGCAATACCCCGTTATCCAAATTTGTCGATTAAAGGCATCAAAAATAAAGATGAGATATACCTTGGACAAAGTAATGCACAGTTAACAAAGGGCATTAACTCTGTATATAATTGAACAAGTGACCGGAATTCAATGTGTTACACACTGCAATCCAAAGAAGTATTCAAAGACAAAGATTGGAATTGTAGGTTACAGAATATATGAAACTTGATCTGAACATAGGGACTGACAAAGTGCAAGCCTACAGTGCTCCCCCACAGTAACAGTGGACAACTACTGAACTGCACTTTGTCAATAATAACAAAGTTAAAGAACATTTAGATGGATTCTTAGTTAATGTTGTAACATCGAGGATTTACATATAAATGACAGTAATTTAAGTAATGTGAAGAATTGTCTAGCAAAATTGGTTGGAGAATTCATTCATAATCTCCTTTACTTTATCAGAATGGAAGAGGGGAGATAACCTTATCAGAATGGAAGAGGGGAGATAACCGATCAAAGTTGGAGTTAATTATGTAACATGTTTCTTGTGTGAGATTGATTACAGATTATATTGTTTGTTAAATAAAGGAATGAAATCATAATATCAAGGAAACTTTTGTTGTTTTCTCTGTTGAACACAGTGTTCTCCTGTATACATGTAAACTATTGATAGTAAACTGTTTTCTACTCATTTCCAAGGTCAAATCTACAAGTCCACTGTACAGCGTTAACCTTTGACACATCTCCAAGCCAAGGTCATGTGACGTCAATAATTTCCTTGTACTGTGACTCGCAATGTACTCCAGAATGACACTGTAAGGACCATATATATGTAAGTGTACAGTGAACACCTTCACGTTTTCTTGTTCTAGAAAAAAGGACCCACATCATTATGCTTGCTGGTGGAAGTATCTATATTTCATAAACTAAAGGATTCGGTCATAGATTCAGGATTGACTAATATCTCGTCCCTACATAGTGTCGATTGGAATCATTGGACAATCTGTCGGCAGCTTACAAAATAGCACAAATACAAAGATAATGTCGGTACAACTTTTAGTGCATATAGTTACATATAGCGTTTCTTGTCATGTATTTATTCAACAACAAAACCTTCAAAAATCATATTCTTGCCCAAACTTTGTTAATTTAGAAATTACCTTTTAACTTGAACATGCAGTAGGTGAGCATGAACAGAAAGACTATCTCTAGGACATTAAAGCGGAAATGTAAAACTAGTATATTTAAGGTAAGAGCGTTCTTGGAATTATTATTTTTTCATGATACTGAGGGAAGAAACTCATTTTCAAGGATAAAAAGATCATACATTTCCGGTATCGACACTTCACTAACAAAATACATGTCTGGCATGAACACTTCAAGATGCTATTACCCCCGGTATGCAGTCGACGGACAACTGCAAATCCATTGTCATCATCAGGGGGGTCCACCTTTTCCTAGAAGTTTCTACACGCGTATACCCAATATTATCCCATCTACGAAATCCAAGAGTTCTGTTCTCAATATTCTCGTATCTTCTTTTGAACCTTTGTAATATGTCATGACAAAATAATTGTAGGTTTCTTTTACGCAACACCTTGCGAATGACGCACTGTTGTCATGGATGAAGGTCAAAAGAATTGCGAAGCAGCGTAACGGCAAAACCGACAGGTTTTATTAGTTGGAAGTTATTTTCAAAGGACATGTATTAATATAATAATAATTGTTGGAATTATCAGTACCATATTTAAAGATAAATGCCTTGCTTGAAATTCATAATAATCATTATATATCATATTATATAAAGAAAACATTGAGAAGTCCTTGTGTTGGAATTAAATATGAAAAATAGAACAAAAGACAGAGATAGCGTCTCTAGGCCTTTCTCGGGTTGATTCCCCGTTCATCAGGAGACTGTTTATTTTGAAAACAGGTATTGTGAGGTCATAGTTATATATCCCATATATATAATATAAACGACATGTGACGAAATATTTAAACAAATTGGCCTTTTTGTTATAGAACAAATATCTGACAGGTGCTGTACCGTATTTAACTGTATTTATAATTATAGGAATCATTCAAGTCGAAAATCATCATCATTATTACTACCACCTCCGCAATCAAATTAAAAATGTGTCGTTCTCACTGAAAATGTTTGCAAACTATAGTTGTATTGTTATATATAAAGAGAAAATAAAAATCAATTTAACATGAAACTAAATTATTGTATATATAGATTACAATTCCGTCTTTTCGTAATGCAGAGTTATCTGCTCTTGTGAGCAGGTTTTTATTGTAACGTCATTAGTTTGCGTGAGAATAAACGTCGTTTTCTCAAAAAAATATGACGTTACTTAGCTTATGAATGTAATTTCCCATTCGAATGCGCCCCAACTCTGACGAGTGATCTCCCTTGTGTACGAAACATGGCCGCCTCCATAGTAAGGTGCTGCATCGCACCAAACAGTTCCAAACTCGTCAAAAGGCTGGTTTTGTCGAGTAGGAATGTAAAGCAGATAAGGAATTGTTCATCTGCACAAGCTTCTACGGATGAAACGGAAGATATTTCTGAAGAGAACTTCTTGGCAGACAGGACGTTAGAGGATGAACTGATGCGTATCAGGGACGTTTCTCGACTAGGTCCTCGATTGAAAAAAAGACTTGGGAAAGAACTTCCTGACATTGACAAGGATTTTAAACTTTCTAAAAATTACAGCAGAAGACTGTATGGAAAAATGGGAAGTGCCTCTGGTGTAAATCCACAAATTCTGTGGCCGAATATGGAGGAGTTAAAAAACAAAATAGAATTTGACAAACGATTTGAACCAACTTTTGAAGGGAATATGAAGAAAATAAAGAAGTGGGAATCAAATCGAGCAAGGAAATTAGAAACAAAGTATGTTTGTTACAGTGATAATACTAGATCCAATACACAAACTTCGCTTGAGTTTACCGTTTTGATTGTAAGAGGTTGGCAAATCAATCCTTCATTTCGGTAGCAGCAACTTGCTGTTTACAATAACAGTTTTATCACTGAAACGGGAATCTTTTGAAATTTGGGAACAGAAAATGGATCAATCTTTCAACTTGATCTTACATATATATAATACAATGAAGTACATTTGTGTAAATACAAAACATTATCAATTTTGATGTTTATTAGCCCACCATCATCTGATGGTGGGCTATTCAAGTCAACCTGCGTCCATGGTCTGTGGTCCGTCGTCCATCCTGAAACAATTCTTGTTATCGGTATTTATCAAGAAGCACCAGAGGGATCTTTTTCAAATTTTATATGTAGGTTTCCCTTGGTCTCTAGCTGTGCAATGCTTCTGTTTCTGCCATGTTAGTGTCCTCATTCGTCTTGCCGAATATAATGACACTGGTTTGTGCGTGCGCAAAAGTACAATAAAATAAAAACAAAAATAATAATTATAATAATTAATAGTATGAGGAATAATGCTACTAATAGTAAATAATAAGGAAATTTGAAGGTTGATTATTTAGTGTTGTGTTTGTTTTTTAGAACCAGCTACTCTATTAGGAAGAGTTCTTACTCGGTGTTGGTCATGTCAACACTGGCCACCTTTAGGAACCCTTACTGTACAGAAGTGCAACTTTTGAGACTGATCAGATAAACAACATGGCCGACAGGCAGCCATCTTTGATAGTGAAAGTTTGTTATCGCTATTTCTCAAGAAGTACCAGATGTATCTTTCTCAAATTTTATATGTAGGGTTCCCTTGTTGTTGCAGCAGTGCCGATGGCGGTTAATTATATAAAGTCTTGCTCGAGGGACCAAAAGTTGTCAAAAGTGAAGTAGTCACTTGCCCAACAAAAATAGTTTGGGGGACTGTCGAAAAATTTCTGAATAAAAGAAATTATATTCCCTTCCACATAAACTAGGGGGGCAGTACATTTTTCAGTTATCATTACTTCGATTTGAATCAAACTGTCCATGATTTAGAAAATGTGATAAAAAAATCAGATTTTCTATATAAATACTGCCAGGGTGTCTTCTTTGAGGTGCAAGTTTTGTGTATTTCTTTTTGGGAATACCTGAATGGAGTGGATCATGTCAGGTTTTAACTAAGGTTGAAGAATTAAAAATATAATTTTTTATTCTGTTTTATATATTACTAACATTGTATTTCAGTCAATAGAGCTATTATAGGTCTTTACAGCTATATAGCTCAATCAGCAGAGTGTACTGGACCTGTATAGTATATACCCAAATGAGAGGTTGTTCAGCGATTTTTTTCAGACACAGATTACGTAAAATACTCAAATAGCCAGGAGGCCATGCAATCATATATATGGGTAAATGGTTGCTTTTAAACATGTTGACTATAAATGTTTACTGAAAGTAGTTCAATACTTAGGTCTTGCATTAACCCTTTCACCACTGTAGACCATCATGGACTCATGATCATCCAGATGAATATATCTTGGTGAGTCCATTTTGGTCTACAGTGGTGAAAGGTTAACCATTAATCAGAATACTTTTACTGCATAAACATATGCAAACATAAAATTTCTACATGTTTATGATTAGACAAAAGGAGACCAGGTTACCCACCACTTATATCTATCCAGTTCATCCTGTCCCCAAGATCAAAACCACAATTTCACAGTTGCAGTTTCTAGTAATAAGCAGATATTTAGCTTCATAGTGCTATGGCTGTAGACTAAGATGAAATAAAAGGGTGGCGCAGTGGAAAGCGCATACATCTTCCACAAAGACAGCTGGGGTTCGAGGTCATCTGACACACCACATGTGTCCGAGTACTCGAGTTTCCTCCCACATTAGAAACCCTGCCTGCTAATATCTTGGCCAACGAGAGTGATTAATAGAAGTTATAGAACTTGTTTTGTAATTGATGTTAAAGTTTGATTTAATTATAAGATGAAATGACAACATTTTGTAGTATATATCTGTGTACAGCTGCATCTATCAGTTATAATCGTCCCTTGTATACTTAATATTTTGACTAACTTAAGTTGAAACCTTGGCTTGAGTCACAAGCAGTTCACTTTCCGATCAAAGTACATTTTTTATTATACACTGCTGGATTTGACGGATATAAGCCAACGCATGCAAGTACAGTTTACCATTTAAATACCAAAGTGAACTGAACTTGGTCAATATTGAAACATATTGGAAACAGTATCTCTTGTATGTTGACTTCCCTATAGCTAGAATGTAAATAAATCTGATGTTCATGTGTAAATACTTGTTTCCTATTGTCCACAGGCTGGAGAGGGTAGACAAGGCTATGGCTAAAATGCCCAGCCTCATAAAGCAGTTTCATCAGAAGCGAGAGACTCTAGAAAAGGAGGATGCTGCAGAAAAGGCAAAATTGGCCCGATTGAATCGGGAGGCTGAAGAGTTTTATGGTCCTATGAAGAAGACGGACCACCGCCGGAAAACATTCATCTCCACAAGAATGAGGGAAGAAAGAAAGGCAGAGAAAGAGGCAAGAGCAGAGGCAAAGGCAGGGAAGAAGAAATCAAAGAAAGAGAAAAAAGAAGCAGAAGAAAAATCTGGAGATGGAAAAATATCCGAAGAAAAAGTCTCTGAACAAAAATTAACTGAAGTAAAAGTAATTGAAGAAAAAGTTATGTCTTAGGTGAAATATTTGTGAAAGCTGATTTAGATATTTGATAACGCGTAGGATGGGATGTAGTGTGTGTATGAGTGTGTGCAGCGATCCAGGTAATAAGAAACCAAATGGGATTGCTCCAGAAAATAAAAAATAAATATATAATAATCTTGTCATGTTATTATATCATAATGTAACAGCAATACTCACATTTAGCATAGGTCGTTCAACTGGATTTTTCACAATATTTACACATGTGCCGAGTATTGAAATAGACTACATGAAAAGCTAGCTTTTGTTGTGTATACACAGATATGTAAAAGGCCAAAATTGTAGTCTTGAACCAAATTCGATTTTTGTTTGAAAAATTATGCAGCCCACATAGTGCACCTCATCATGTATATGCCAATTTCAGTGCTGATTTTTTAAAATTTTGATACATGTTATATTACAGGGGTTATTCATTGTATAAAGATATCACCCATGGCCATCGTACGCTACTGTACACTGCTACCAAAGGCCCTATAACCAGGGATAAAAATTTGTGAACCGCTTGGAGATATTAATTATATCCTGACTATAACAAGAGGCCTAATTGGCCAGTATCAGACTCTTGTTATTTAATGCTGTTGCATTGGCAGACACGATTCACATCTGCCACCCTCAAGAAATCTAACACTACCAGCATATTATTACCCTATATCAATTGGATTTGTGCTGGGAGATTTTCACTTATTTCACTCGTGTGACATTCAAAGTTTGTCAAGGTCATTTATTCAAGTAAACATGATATCATGTTATGTACTCAAGCAAACTACTCGCTACAGAATTGAAATACATACTTTAAGCCAAAAGGAAATTTCAAAAAAGTTGTTTTAAGTTTTTCACACACTCTATGACAAAGAAAATAGATGACGTTCATTTATTGCGACAGACATGAAAACCTTAAACCTTTGCCAGCATGCTGTAGTCCAAATATCAGGATTTCTAAGTCTCATGTATCTTTAGAAGTTGTTCTTCAGATTTCTATGACCTTGAAAGTTGGATAGGATATTTTTTCAAACAAACTTAAAGCCCTTTATGCCAGTGCACTACAAGGCACCTTGGTTATTCAAAAGAAGCAGTGTTTTGATTGGAGGTATTATGGTATGGGGAGCGTCTGTCCGTCCACACTTTGGTTCAGCAAGAGAACTTGCTTAAATATCGTTTAATTTTGATGAATCTTCTGTAATTGGTACATTATACTAAGACTGAGGCCAAAGTTTCAACTTGAGCAGGTTTTAACTTACTCTGTGCTCTGATTGGTCAGTTTCCAAAGTTTAGTTTCCCAAAGAAAACTTGTTTAAGTATTGTTTGATTTTGATATAGCTTGGTATGTTTGTACATTATACAACAAAGACTGAGGCTAAGTTCATAGTTGAGCAATCTGTGCTAAATTAATTAGCATACTGTGTTGACGGTTTCAGCACAATAACTCCATCAAATATGACCAAATTCTGAAGAAACTTGGTTAATATTTATATTACATAATGACAAAGGCTGAGCTAATAGGTGAGCAAAACAGGCACAAAATTCATAAGGATACCATTATCTAATTGCTCAACAATTTCCACATAATAGATTGGTTAATAGAAATAAGTTTGGTTTTAATGGTGTAAGATAATCGATTATTGTCGAAAAGGTTCAATTTCCATTTTCATGGTTTGAAATATATACCAAGGGAGATAATTCATTTTTTTAAGTCAATTTTTAAAGGACAAAAGTGATACTGTATCTGAAATACAATGTATATATTATTAGCTCACCTGCCCGAAGACTTCTTTTCAATAATCAAAAGGCCCAGGGTACTGATATTGGGCCTGTAGCATGCTGGGATAAAGGGCTACCAAGTTTGTTCAAATGAATGACCTTCATCTTTTTTCAAGGTCACAGGGGTCAAATATGTTTTAAACCTTTAAACTACTTCTGAATAACCAAGATGCCTAGGATAATGCCAGTAATATGCTGGGATGAAGGACTTCCAAGTTTGTTTAAATGAATGACCTTGACATATATTCAAGGTCACATGGGGTCAAATATGTTAAAAAACTTGAAACGACTAAGCAAAAGGCCAAGGGTGATGCTATTTGGCCATTAACATGCTGGGATGAAGGAGTACCACGCGAATGACCTTCGCCCATATTCAAGGTCACATTGGTCAATATATGTTTAAATCTTTAAATGATTTGTTCTGTATAACTAAAAGGTCCAGGGTAATGATATTTTGCCAGAAGCATGCTGGGTTGGAAAACTATAAACTCTGTTCAACCTAATGTCCTTGTTCGACATTCAAGGTCACAGGCGTCATGTGTTTAAATCTTTTAATAGGTTCTTATGAATCAAACACTGATATTTTACCTGTAGCTGTATTTTAGTCCACTTTTAAGATTACAAGTGTGAGTTAAATACCAGGTGAGCGATGCAGGCACATTGGGCCCCTTGTATTCCTTTAGCTTAAGTTGCTCATTTCACCGCATTCCAGAAATAGTTTTCAACTTGAATGAGGAATACAGTACAAATGTGGTTTCTTACATCTCCATATTTTTCATACATTTAGATACAAGAATGCATCAGAAGGATTTTAAGTAAGGGACTGGCATAGATTGTTCTGCCCTGCCTTACTCTTGTGGAACATAGATTTTAATGGATCACTGGCTGCTTTTCAGAACTTGATAGATGACTCACGATGTGAAAAAGATACAATATCAATGTAGATAAAACACTCAAGAAGTCCTTTAAATAGACAAGATGTCACTATTGTTCCATCTTCATGAGATCCATGTAAATTTGCTATTTTCTCTTCTGACAGTAAATGTAACATGTGGTAACTTTAAAAACCTTCTACTGCTGTATAAGACATTGTTCTTTCAAATTGAGGTGGTTGTTTGACCTATTGACTAGAACAGTACTTTATGTGTAACAATGGGAACTTAAAGTTGAAAGAGAAAGATATGTTGTCTAGTACTTCTTGTGAAATAGTGATAAAACTGGAACTGTTGAAATCAAAGATTGCAGCCTGGCAACCATTTTGTTTTTCTGATCCGATTCAAAATGAAACTTGCACATCTAGGGACCTATGACTGTTAGATAAATTTGATAAAGATCAGTCTATCACTTCCCGAGAAATGATGGTAAAACAATTTTAACTGTCGAAATTCAAGATGGCTGTCTGATGGCCATCCTGCTTTCTAATGCTTTTGGTTTGGTTTGGTTTGTTTGTGTTTTACGTCCTATTAACAGCTAGTTTATATGGTCATTTAAGGACATGTCTGGTTTTGGTGTTGGAGGAAAGCTGGAATTCCCGGAGAAAAACCAACGACCTACGGCCAGTACCTGGCGACAGTTCCACGTAGGTCTCGAACCGGCGGCTCAGTGGTGGAGGGCTAAAGGTAGCAGAATGTCAGACGCCTTAACCACTTGGCCACCACCACCCCCTTTTTCAATGCACAAAGACGGTCCATGGGTAACAAAGTTGGAGCTAACAAACTTCAGCCGTTACATTTAAAGACGACTAACTATCAGCCATTTTGGTTTTTCAATTGGTGCCAAAAATTCAAATCCATCACTAAGGACCATGGGGAACATACATGTGAAATTTGAGACAGACCACTCTATTACTTTCTAACATGCTTTTAACGCTCAAAATCTAAGATGGCAACCTGTCAGCCATCTTGGTTTTCTTATCATTCCCAAAATTCAATATGCCTTAAGGTCATAGGAGTGTATTGCTAAACGGAAATAGGAAGTACATCCCTAGTTGAAAATCCTATGTAGGGAGACAGTATCACAATTTCCACATATTCTAATGTTTAATATTAAACTGATGAATATTGTATGTTTATTATTGACAGAACACTGTGTTCTTTCAATATTAAAGTATTTCAAAGCAATCCAGGCATTAATTCAGTTGTTTTTTAATCAATGAGTCACAGGAGTCCATTTTTCTGTACTTCAGGAAACCGGCTACCTATTTCACTACTGTGAATTTTTTCAAGAACAGTAACTCTTACATGCAATTACTGTGTATATGGTTTTATTATAAAATGTAAATTTTTAATCGTTTATAGATAATTAATTTTACACAATTTCAGCATTTATGAAATTGATATACATTAATGCAATACTAATCTATGGCAGTATCATTTTTATTGACATTTTTTTGCAAAAAATTGTCTTTCATTTTTTTTCAAAATTCACTCCTTTTTACATAAATTTACATTAAAAATCCTTAAAATTCTGACAACCTATATCTATTTTGTGGCAGAACATGTTCTTTACTTCAAAGCAATATAACTGCACAATCCTATTACCTTAATGTGAACCATGGGGAATTTGAGAAATTTCCCTCCTGTTCTTTAGAGAAATTGTGCTAACAAACTTTGAACTCTCAATATTAGAGATGGCCACCTGTCTGCCATCTTGGTATTCCAATCAATTCTAATATTCAATAGGCATAACTATATTTATGGGCCATAGGGAACCTTCACGTTTGATTGGTACTGAACATGTTTGGTTGGTATTGAACACGTTTGATTGGTACTGAACATGTTTGTTTGGTATTGACCATGTTTGATTGGTAAATGTACTGAACATGTTTGTTTGGTATTGAACACGTTTGATTGGTACTGAACATGTTTGGTTGGTATTGAACAGGTTTGATTGGTACTGAACATGTTTGTTTGGTATTAAACACGTTTGATTGATTCAGAACACATTTGGTTGGTTTTGATCACGTTTGATTGGTACTGAACATGTTTGTTTGGTATTGACAATGTTTGATTGGTACTGAACATGTTTGTTTGGTATTGACAATGTTTGTTTGGTATTGAACACGTTTGATTGATTCTGAACACATTTGGTTGGTTTTGATCACGTTTGATTGGTACTGAACATGTTTGGTTGGTATTGAACAGGTTTGATTGGTACTGAACATGTTTGTTTGGTATTGAACACGTTTGATTTGTACTGAACATGTTTGTTTGGTATTGAACACATTAGATTGGTACTGAACATGTTTGTTTGGTATTGAACACGTTTGATTTGTACTGAACATGTTTGTTTGGTATTGACCATGTTTGATTGGTACTGAACATGGTTGAATGGTACGGAACATGTTTGTTTGTTATTGAACACGTTTGATTGGTACTGAACATGTTTGATTAGTACTGAACATGTTTGTTTGGTATTGACAATGTTTGTTTGGTATTGAACACGTTTGATTGGTACTGAACATGTTTGTTTGGTATTGAATATGTTTGTTAGGTATTGAATACATTAGATTGGTACTGAACATGTTTGTTTGGTATTGACCACGTTTGATTGGTACTGAACATGTTTGTTTGGTATTGAACACGTTTGTTTGGTACTGAACACGTTTGTTTGGTACTGAACACGTTTGTTTAGTACTGAACCCGTTTGTTTGGTACTGAACATGTTTGGTTGGTGCTATTCTTTTGTTTTATAAAACCCACATCAATGAAACAGACAACAGAACAAAACACAAATTTGAATAGTTTTAATTTTTTTTGTCATATTTTTTCCATGATTTTTTTTCTTTCACTTAGTAATTTTAAGTGTTTAATTAATTGACAAAAGTGTATATAGCAATAAATGTTGATATCAGAAACCCTTAGTTTGGATGTTATCCATGTTAAATAAAATACAAAAATATACTACATATATATAAAATGTACATGGTTATAGAGACTGGATTACAAACATCTTCATATGGACAATTATTATGACGTTTGCTTACAGTTATCTAACCTGCATCCCCTACCAGAGCGACATAGACTAATCGGTACAATCATATGGACCAGTCTACAATATAATCTGGGGGAGTAGATTAGAAATTACGTAATATGTTAAACAGATTATTACAAATCACATACCAAGGAAAAGCTGCCATCAAATGTTATTATTAGTTTCCTTGTTCAAATGTAACTAGAAATTAAGATATGGAAAAAATGGTGAGCGAGTTGTGACCCCATGTTAATGTGTTTAAATTAGACCTTCGTATTTACAGGACATGACACGCGTATACATTTCTAAAAATGAGGATGACATGACAAGACACACGTGTACAGATATCAATATTGTGATTCTATGTACAAATGTCATATTTTGATTATGCTGTTATTACTTTAGAATTTTTTGTTGGATTTCAATTTTGGCTCTTTTCTTGACCTTAATAAATAACACGTACTACACAACATAATGGACATTAAACATTTGAAGACCTGTAATGTATAATTGGTGTATTTCCATTAACAAAAGATCACTTTTAATATAGGTTTCCATTCTGCATGGTAATAACACCACATACATTGTTTATATACAAACAAGTTTTGGCAACTACATTTCAAGCCACTAGAATTCTTTGGGAAATACTGACATTTCTTGTTTTCATTTCAAACTTCAAAGTATCAGAACTATTTTTTCTTCAAATTATAACCGATATTCAGATAAGATAATAATAATTGGAGATTCTTATATACCGCTTTATCACAACCTAGTTCGTAGGTCGTCTCAAACCGATTATCCGTGGTTATAGGGCCTTTGCAACCAGCCAATACCTTTCTCAGCTCTCTGGGGAGCATACAGCCGGAGCTGCCATTTCGGCGCTAACAGCTAGCATTCAACATTTCTAGCACTACCCAACCATGTACTCATTTACAGCTGAGTAGACTGGAACAAGCGGAGTAAAGTATCTTGCTCAAAGAAACAACACATTGCCGTCCCGTAGCGCGCACCCGCAACCCTTCGGTCACGAGCCCGGCGTCCTACCACTGGACTACCGTTCCTCCTATAAGATTCATAAGTTTAGTAAAACAAACATAGCTTTTAATAGCTATGATGTCTCAGATCAATAAAAGATGTAAAAACTAGGAAATGTCTGAAAGATGTGACTGCCCCCATGCCACTGCCATGCAAATAAGTGTCTTTGTTTGACAGATTTCTATAAATAGTAAGTGGCATTGACCTATGAAATATGAACTCAATCTAGATTTTTTTTTCATACTTGACATTTGAAAAAAGGCTGATCAAAATCCTTCAAGAACTGAAGTTGGTAGAATGATATCATGCAACTGATTGACACATTTTTATAGTGACCTTGACCCTGACCTTTATATTGGAACCCTGGGATATTAAATCATTTGTATTGTCATACTTGGCCATTTCATACAGTTTTTAAATAAAATTTGCTTGTGTGGTGACACTGAATCGGCACCCTTCAGGACAGGACCAAT